ATGCTCTTGTTGTATGAAGTGTTGATACTATATTTGAAAATAAACTCCTACAAGAACTCCATCACCCCAGAAAGTAAATGTTCATTTGCAGACAAGGTATTTCAGCAAATACATGCAGGATGCAGGAAAATGGGTTCTGCTTTGTTAAAATAAATTAAAACAGAGGTTGGACCTGAAAAACATCGGGTCACACAAAGCCAGTAAGGCCTCACTAGAGACCTAAACCTTGTCTAATTTCCTTAACTTGAGCTAAAGCCACCAAATAATTTATAGCTAAGAATTTCCATCAGGAGAGATCAAATAAGGGAACTGTATGACTGCCATCAATCAAATATTTTCTTTGCTGTATTCCAGCATTCATACTTGAAAAACTTTCTCTTTACATTCCTTTAGTGGAGCCCCAGATTCTGGTCTGTAGCTGCCTCGTTCATGAATTGCTGTTTGTCCAAATAAACTTTAAATTGTGAAGATACTTTGGTTTGTCTTGAAATAGCTCCATGGTTCTGATATAAATATGAATTCAGATAAAAAGATATTCTGGTTTGTATTTAAAAATACTCTAATTGTACAATAATTTAAAAAGGAGATATAAGAATCCGAAAATACATTAAAACAAAGTATTATTTGCATAAACCTCATACTGTAAACATGGTGTGTGATTTCACTTATCTGGTCTCAAATTCTAAAGACTCTGAAGCATATACCATAGAGCTATAAGGGCTAACCTCTTCTCCAATTTAAACCAAATGATATTCTGTGGTGCTTTCAAACTTGAACTTAATTCCTTCTTTATTAAATTGTATTTTTGGCTGTCTATTTAGGGAATTATTTCAAGAGACTGAGTCATTTCAACTTTCCATCAATTTCAGAACAATACATGTAGTAACACTGAACATCAGTGAACCTGTTCCAGACACCTGCCATTTCTGTGGTGTACATTTAATCTAAATCTAAGTTGTAGAAATGATAAAGAATTAAGTACTCAATATTTTAGACTTATGCTATTATAAAATGTTTCTAAGCAGAAGAAATCAAGAATTGCTGTATGTGAAGTGATAAATATGTTAATTACCTTGATTGTAGTAGTCATTTCATAACATTCATATTATCACCAAACATGCTTAATATTCATTAAATGTCAATTATACTCAATGAAAAAGTGCAAAAAATATTAAACATTCAATAAAATATACCATAAACTGTAGTTTTCACTATGCAAAAAAAATGTTTGCTGAGCTAACAATGCTTTGGGATATTATTTTCATATCTTTTATTTACCAATGACTCAATAGAATTTTAAAGAGTATATCCAAATGACAAATGAATATATGAATACATGAAATATGCTCAACCTCATTAGTTATGAAGGAAAGGCAGTAAAACACAATGAGACACTGCCACACATTTACTGGGATGACTAAGATTAAACAGTGACCCACACAAGAAGTGAAGTGAAAAGCAGGAAGCACAAATGAGAAAACAGTGTAAGATTCCAATTATATTAAGTTAAAAACAGATGAAAACAAATCTATGTTATTAGAAATTAGGTCAGTGATTGCCTTTGGGAAGAAAGAATAGTGGAAGGATGTGCCAATATCTAGGATGCTGGTCTTGTTTCATTTATTGAACTAATTGAAAGTTACATGGGTATGTTCACTACATGATGCTGTTCTGTATATGTCTTACATGGAAAAGGTTCTTAAACTTTAAAAATGATACTGCCATATAAAATTATTGTCCCTTTAAATGGGAAACCTGTGTATAAGTGATTCAATTCATTAACTAAACAAGCCACTGAGGAGAATACAATTATTACCACTTTGTAAACGAGAGGAAAGCAAGGCACATACAAGTTAAATAATATGCCCAGGGTACTACAGCCCTAAGTGGTAAGGACAGGCTCCTGAGCCTCACTGAGAATCCTTTCATCCTTACAATAATTCAGTGGTTAGGTAGCATATTTCTTTATGGGTATCTAACAGGCTCTAAAAACATGACTCTAAGTTGTATGTAAACCAGGAAGTCCAGTCAAATCCAGCAGGGTACCTTCCTTAACACCACTCATTTACTATTGCTTTTCAAAATCAGGCCTCCAAGAGGCAACAGATTTGCTTTGACTTTAGCTAACAGGGTAGAGGGTATTGGTGGGATGCATGCCAATTGCTTCCCTTTTTTATTAATGTGCACAAAATGTTTTACATAGTCCTGATATTTTTGTACTAATTTTTTACATCTCTGGAATTCTATGCTCAAAATTAAAAATGCAAGCCCAAGCATTATTTAAAAAAACAAAAACCCAAGGATAAGAGTCTATGTAGTGTTTTTCCTTTAAGTGTGTTCAAATTCCTAACAGACTACTAAAAACCATACTTATTTCTTGTTTTATGCCATTTTTACTCCCTATGAGTTTAAGAATGTTAGTGTTTATAGAATTCTGTAAATCAAAATGAAGTAGATCAGATCTGTTCTACCATCAGCAGAACAAACTTTATTACCTTTCTCTCATATCAAGGCCAGCTGGAAAATAAGAGAGTTACAAAATATTTCATGATATACTTCATGTGAGTCCAGTTTAGTAAGTGAGCTATCTTGCAAAGACCCTCATTTTAGTGTGGTAGATGAACTGTTTTATATATTATACACAAGTAAGAAAGAAGTTCATTGTAAAGATGTTTTGGTTAGATTCAAATGAAAATCAGCATTTGGGCTTCATAGGCATTCAAAAGAAATACAAATTTCAGCTTTTTGATTGACATGAGTGGAAATATGTATCAGTATGAAATATTATTCTTGAATGATGCTGTATTTCTTACTTGATCAACAGAATTATGTTCTATACATGACAAACAAATGGTTGTTAGTATCAGTTGATTTAAGTTTACCACTAACAGGCCTTTTGTAATTTTGAGTTTCAGTGTATTCAACTAATTCTTATCTTTAACCAGAAAATCAATACCTTTTACATAATTAGCTTTGGGCTCTTGGGAAACTCGACCTCTGGGCAGGTAGACAGGGTTCAACTTTATATAATTACTGCCAGAACTACAAGCAGATTCCATGCAAAACCAAATCAACTCATCTAAACTATTTTTTAGACTGTGTGCTTTGAATTGTGTGAAACAATGCCAGAATTGAAAATACCCGTTACATTTTCATGGTTTTTAACTGGCTATGAAATTTCAAGATCTGGAAAATGTACTGTGAGATGAGCTATGCATTCATTTTCCTGATATAGCAAGAAAAAATAACTCCCACATACCTTTATCTACCCAAATGACAGCCAATCTCAAAAAAGTTTAAATACTCCAAGCACTGGAAAATATTCCATAACGTAAGGCCAAAAGTTCTGAAGTGGATGTTTAAAAAACAATAACAAAAATGGCTCTGCAAGTGATTTTTCACCCCACTGCAGCCTGTACTTTTACGGAATTAAAATTCAAGATCAACCACTAAGAAAAGATATTTCAAAGAAAACCCTATGCCTGTCATGGCAGACTTACTCCCTTGGTGACGCTCTATTATTGTCACTGAATTTCAGCAGATGCTCAAAGTTAAGTATTTTATTGGAGTCACCTGTCCTGTGGGCAGTTTGTAGTTCAAGCAGCCAGAGAAGTTGTGTGTCATGTCCATGATATTTACAGATTTCAATTAGTTTGGGAATCTCTAGGAGGAAAATGATTCTTCCCTTAGAGAGAAGTAGGAAGAAAGGATAAATGAATTAATAAATGATGTGGGAGCAACTGATAATGGTTCTACCTAACAGATGAAATGTGCTTATGTAAAGAAAAAATCTTCTGCATATACATTTTTTCATGGCTGAAGATAAGAAGCCAATAATGCATTATCATTTATTGTGTAAATCAGAATAAAAGAGCGTAAACATAAGGTAAGTCACATTTAGATAACAAAAACTCATAAGAAAACAGACAGGGAGGCATACTACCAACATAGAACAAAATTTTATGCATGTGAAACAAAATAGACTATTGTCAGTAAATTCACTAGTGGACAGCTTCCACATTAAGTTCAGACTATATTTCGGGGGGTGGCAACTCTGGTATAATATTCATTCATGTTTTTCTGGACGATGGTTCAGATTTCCCATGTCTTCAAATATTTTAGTAACCAAGAAAAATTTTTATACACTGTAACATTGACTCTCAGAGTTTAGTATCAAATTCCTTTGGCACATATCTACCTCACAAGTATGTCAAAAAAAATTAAATGCAAACCATGTACAACAACTTTTTGAAAAACTGTAGATTTTCTATGTAATAAGCATCCATTTAAACCTTGTTATCACAGACAACTGAGCAAATGGAATTGAAACAAAGCAAACTGGTATTTAACTTGGTCACTAAACTAACTGATCAAATATTTCCTGAATGCCTATAATGTACTTACCATGAGTATGGTGGCTACATTTTAATTAAGAAAAAAAGATGTCTATGAAGCAACAATGGAAAATATCAAACTGTACAGTTATTTACTACTTAGTGCATATGTTACAAACTGCAATGACCAAAGATGAAAATTAAAAGGCATACAGAAGCAGGTGAAGCCATTATTTCATTCATATATTATATACAGTAACAGATGATCCTAAAATCTAAAATTTTCCAGTTTTATAGTAATACCTTTAGCATTGTTATGGGAAGAATGTGAGGCTGAGTCCTCTCTAACTCAAGTAAACATAGGACTGTAAAGTACTCAAGTTACATTTCTTGCCAACCAATGCTTCATTGTTTGACAAATTTTTTTCCACCTCCCAAGACTTTGTAAGCACAGCTTCTGAAATGAGAACTTGGTGGTTGTTTAAAAGCCTTTCAACTAAGACAAGGGTTATATCACCACGTACTACAAGTGCAGATGGCAGGATTTCTACCTAGGGCTGCGAAACACCATGTGTCAGTTTATTTATTCTCAGCAGTAGGACACAGGCAGCTCTAAATGGTGAGAAATCAGAACACAGCCAATCTCCCTACAAAAAGAGACTTTACCTTAGGATCAGATGTGAGCAACTTGAATGCTTGATATACTTGAGATTCCCTTACACCGCCTCCCAGATCCAAGAAGTTGGCTGGCTTCCCACCATTTAGGAAAATGATGTCACAAGTAGCCATGGCCAGTCCTGCACCATTAACTATGAAATGCAAACAGCACACAAGACAAGGTAAACTTAGCAGCAGCAAGGGGTACATAAACATTTTCCCTCTCCAGTATCACCAAGAGAGAGCCTTATTATTCCCAGGCCAATTTCTACCCTGATTGGAATTCAGTTCAACCAGGTAAGTGCATATATTTTTATGATAAAGCATCAAGGAAATGTGCATACAAAGAATAAGCAACAAAAAAATGGAAAGGAGAAAGATGTAGGGATGTTAAATCAATCTAGGAAACAAAAAGAAAAGAAGAGTTAAGGAACTAAACAATTTGGACTAGCAGTACAGAGCAAGTTTTAGGTGCTGGAAAGCCTAAGTTTAAGAGAATTTGAAATGGAAGGAAAAGGCTATGAGAAGTTGCTAGGACTTTAAGAGACATCAGCAAAAAGTAGAATTTTAAAATGTTTTTGCTTGCTGAAAATATGCACCTTTGAATGTGGCATCCCTCTGGGATTGAACCACAGACCTTCAGTAGGTCTCCATACTATTTTGTACTTAGTGCAACTCTGTACATTTATAAGATGTTATCCAGATAAACTCAGAAAACAAATGAACCAATGATAGCACCAAAGTCAATATCCCTACCCTTTCTTCCTCTTTAATGTAAGAAATGTTTATTAGCAGCCCAATTATGAAAACTAGAACCAAAAAATACCAACATCTTTACAGTTTTTCTTAAATCAAATATGGAGGTTTAAAATTGAAATTCTCGTTTTCTAGAGCTAATATTTATCGATCACTTGTACTCCTTTTGCTTAATTATACAGAATTACTTTCCTCGGCTTGGAAGACCAAAAAACTCTCCTTAACACAGAAGAAATTCTCTAGGTTGCATTTCTCAGACAAGTCTATGAGCTGTGAGTAAATTAATTATGTCTAGACCAAGTAAAATAAAAAAGGCTTACATAAGATCTTAAAGAAATGTGAAACATGTTAATCATAATTTCTGAAAATGCTTCTTGGTCAAATCATGTATAGTCTGACAGAGGCTACAAAGAATCTGAATTTAATTTGTTCTAAACACATCATTATATTTTTTCCCTTCCTAATGCCTACAAATATTGAGACTGCATTAGCATATCTGGATCAGAATGATGTGTGAGATCTGGTACATTACAGTTATTGCTCCAATACAAAGCAAGAGCTTTTGGCATCATTTGTAATTGGATGTTATTTTCTATTGTATTGAACAGCAAACTATTGGATGAGGTCTCTTCTGTTCTGAATAAATGATACTATTGGCTTAATGCATAACAAATCTTTTTCATTTTAATTCCATTAAGATGAAGACCTTAGTTTCCAGTGAATGAATTAGTTCTAGCAGAAATACAGTCTTATGCAATTAAGTTGGAAGCATATAAATCTCAGCACTATAAGCTGTGGACAATAACTGAAATTGTATTGCCTCTACAGACTCATTCTTGGCTGAATAAGCCATTTTCACAAACTTAGATGAGTATGATGGAATCAACTGTTTTATTAATAAACCGGTGTAATGAATGAAGTATTTTTTCATTTGCACTATAAAATCTGAAATGTTAGTAAAATGATTAAAGTTTATTCCCCTTCTTCATCTGAAAAAGCAATTTTGTTTTAAACTCAAATTTCACAATAGTTCCTATCACATTAACACTGACTTGCATGGTAAAGATTCTGAGATTTACTAAGCAAAGTTTAACTGAGATGTGTTAAATGAGTGGTTGTCAATTGGGGTAATTCTATGTATCACAGACATTTGGAGACTTGTTTTATTTTCAAAACTGGTGGCTGTTAGTATCATCCAGAGGCCAGGAATACTACTAAATATAATGGCTGGGACAGCCTCCTACAGCAAAGGATTATCCCAGCTAACATCTCAATAATACCAGAGTAGAGAAACTGCTTTCAACCAGTGACCACTGATAAAAATGAACTTTGAGAAGAAACTAGACTATTTTCTAAAACTATTCAGCTACAACACTCTGTTTACTTGCTACTCTTAAACAGCATTTCAGTAATCACGTTGATAAATTCTATAAAAACTCTTTTAATATAAATGCTTACCAAAGCAGGCAATGTTCCCATCTAGTCCTATGTATTTTAGATCATATCTGGCAGCTTCATTTTCAATGGGTTCATTCTCTGATTTGTCATCCATAGCAAATATCTCCTTTTGTCGGAATTCAGCATTGTCATCAAAGTTTATCTTGGCATCAAAGCAGACAACTAAATAAACAAACAAACAAACAAAAAGGAACATAGCTGAATATCTCTTTTAATTAAGTTCTGCAGTATGGCAGGCACAAGGGAAAGGCCAGATATTTCAATTCTCATGGTATAGGGAGGAGAAACTGTTGTGGTTTTCTTGACCTTTGAACTTCAGAGTTAGAGAGACAAATATAACATGGCTCCTATTCTCAAGAGCATAGTTACTTATACCTTTTGGCTTGTGTTCACAATAATAGCATCAGAAGTTGTCATTACCCACAATAAAAGCTGCAGATTGGCATAATTACATATAGCTTTGATTGGCTATTGTTACCATATTCCTTATTTTTAGTATTTAACTACTGACTATTGCTTTTCCTTTCTATGTAAAAGAGGCATTAACACCAATCCTTTTATCCTCTTCTGTCCTTCTGAAGTCCCAACGTGAAATTTTATCAGCATCCTCATAATATTTTAAGAAAATAGAATGTTGTGCCAGAATCCATGTTTTTTTTTTAAATCCTTAACTCTGCAACATTTCTTATTTAAAATATTTTTAAAATAAAGCTTTAATATACTTAAAGTGTACAACATGTTTTGATATACATATTTTGGAAGCAATACTATAGTGAGGCAAATCAACATTTTTACCTGCTTCTCAGTTTCTTTTCTTGTCCTTTTTCTTTTTCTCTTTCTCATCCTCCCTCCCTTCCTCCATTCCTCTCTCCCTCCCTTGAGCATTTGAAATCTATCCTTTCAGCAATCTTCAATATGCATTACTAATTCTGTAACCTTGTTAAAAACAAACAAACAAACAAACTAGCTTATCCATGGGCTTTGGTTTTTTATTTCAAAACAATGAAAATAAATCCCTAGTCTACTAATTTACATGATTAGGAATTTGCTAAAATTATAGCCATTTCTTCAATTTGTACAGATCTATCTTATGATTTCTTTGATTCAAGTTATAAAACACTAAGAGACCAAGACTACTTGGTTAGATGCTAAGGTACCAGGCACCTAGAGCTATGGTGCCCACCCATGCTGCTAGTGAGACTCATAACATTTACTGGTGGGGCCCCAGATCCAGCAAAACACATCCCACAAAAGGGATTTAAAGGAGCTCTTCTACAAGGACTGAGGAAATGACAGCAAGGGGGAGACTGGTTATGCTCATATACGGATTCCAGCCCATCTTATGGTCTCCCTTAAAATAGAAACTGGTGCTCCGTGATGCCATGCCATGGTGATATTCCTTTATTTAACTTGAGATATTAATAGGCAGGTATTTTTGACCAAGATTTGTAAGGTTTTCCTGTTGACAAACATCAAACTGGAAAACAATCACCTTGGATTAACAGCTCACTGAAAAGTAATGGCCATAATCTGCTAATTCTACTTGCTTCCTAAAAAAAGAAAACATTGCTGCATTCCTGTCTAGGTAGAGCATTCTCTAAACTTTTCCCTAAGAAAGGACTCAAATATTTTGCTATAAATCTGCATAGAACACTTACATATTAACATTTAAGAAGACTTGCCATAAATAGAAATCCAGACCACAAATTACTTTTAAACACTCACTGACTGACAAGAATCTTATTTGTAAACTAATCTTAGCTTGAGTCCTTAGTCTTGCCACAAAATGCCCAACCACTCTACCCACACACTGTGAATACATGGAGTGAATAAGTAATTACTTTCCAGAATAATGAAATCATAATGATGGAATCCTACAATTATCAAAGGAACTGACCAATGTTCTCTGCTTGCTACGATGGCATTTTCTCAGCAGTTAATGACCGGTATAATAATCAATAGAAAGGCAACTTCATTTTTGGCTTCCCACTAGGTTTATAAATACATTCTAATTAATTTATTAGTAATTTTAGCTCTCCATTACTCACTGGCAAGAGCACTTGTAACTGACACCTTCAAAATGAATGGGCAAAGGCTATCAAATTGACTTTCTAAGTGAAGAGTTTCAAATAAAAGAATTCTTGGTCAAGATCAATAAACCAGTAAATCAAAATAGTTCCATGTTAATCTTTGCCCCTCACAAAGACTACAGTTACAAGCTGCTTGAGAGAGAGGGTAATTAATGGATATGTATGCAAAGTTCAGAAAGCAGTCTCTACTAAATGCTTGCAAAGCCCAGTTTTCAAAAGATGCTTTCATGCCATAAGATGTATATGCCAAAAAACAGAAATGAGTTTGTTATTTGGTGACACCTTGACAGAACCCGACAATTAACACAAGAGTAGGAAGAGGGTGACTGTGGGAAAAAGGGATGTGTATCTATGATGGTTCCTTGCTAACTCTTCTCTCTCTATAGAGAAAACTGAAAAACACAGATCAATGTATGTAACTCTTACGAGCTTTGGGAAGACAAAAATATTGCATAAAAGTGAAGTTAAGGAAGGAGACCTATGAGTTAAGAAAAGTGGTCTAAAAACCAAACTACTACCTTCAAGGCCCCAATTTTTAGAGTAGGGAAGAAGAAAAAGCACTTTTAAAGGCACTAGGGATTTTCTTAGATGCATATTTATTATAGTTGCTTAATATTTTAGTCTGATATTGCAATTTATAATAAAAATATTTATTTTGGCTTTCATCTTTAACTCTTCAGATAGAGATCCTAAAACTTTACATGTCCTGAGCATTAAGAGTACTAGATAAATCTTTTGCTCTAATATTTTGATTTCAGTTGTGATTTCTGACAAAGAACTCTTAATCCCTTATAATTTCCGCAGAGATAAGAGAATGTTTTATTCTGATGAGGTGACTCTTGGTGGGCTCCTGAATGAGGGCTGATCACCTGACAGAAAGTTATGGTTAGAAGCTTAGAACCCCTGTCCTCTAGGAAGTGGAGAGGGTACTAAGAATGAATTAACAAGGGCCGGGGATTTAGCTCAGTGGTTCCACCACCTGCCTTGCAAGTGCAAGGACTCGAGTTCAATCCCTGGTACCAAAAGAAAATAATGAATGAGTTAACAATGGATCATTTCTATGTTGACAAAGTCTTCATCAGAATCCCTGAACAACAGTATTCAAACAAGTTCCAGGATACTGAACACATGAAGGCACTGGAAGGCTGGCTTGCCTGGAGAAGGCATAGAATTCCCCTGTCCCTTCTCATATACCTGATTTGGCCATTCATTTCTATACTTTATTTTTTAAAATAAATTTTAATTTATCCCATTCCTCCCCTCAAGGCACCCCCCCCATGTACAAAAGCTTTGTTTCTATTTTTTCCTTCTATTTTCACTTTTTTTTCTTATGTCTCCCTTCCTTTCTCCCTTCCTCCTCCCTTGTTCCCCTTCTCATTTAAACACTTTCTTCCCATTTCTCAACATCCATTTTCATTTCAATCCTTATTTCCACATTCAGTTTTTCACACCTGAGAAACAATGCAGTATTTAAATATGTATTTCACTTAGGACTATGGTCTCAAGGTCCATCCATTTAGCTATAAATGTCTGAAGCTCATCTTTCTTTATGGCAGAGTAGTACTCTATTATATTAAAAAAACCAAAACCACATTTTCTCTATCCACTCATCAGTTGATGGGCATTTGGGCTGTTTCCAAGATTTAGCTATTACAAACTGTGCTACTATAAACATGGGTGTGCATACATCCTGTGGTATGATGCTTTTAATTCTTTTGGGAAGATACCAAGAAGAAGTATAGCTGGGTCAAATGGAACCTCTAGTTTTAGTTTTTTTTGAGAGATCTCCACACTGATTTTCCCAGTGGTTATACCAGTCTACACTCTCACCAACAGTGGAGAAGGGTTCCTTTTACCCCACAGCCGCTCCAGCATTTGTTATTGGTTGATTTCTTGATAGCAGTCATTCTTCCTGGAGTGAGATGGAATCTCAGCATTGTTTTAATTTGCATTTCACGAATGACCAGTGATGCTGAACATTTTTTCATATATTTATTTGCTGTTTCTAATTCTTCATCTGAGAAGTGTCTTTTCATTTCAGATGCCCATTTTTAGATTGGGTCTTTAAATTTGGGGGGGGGGTTCTGATTTTTTTGAGTTCTTTGTATATTCTAGATAATAGTCTTTTATCTGATGAATAGCTGGTAAAAAATTTTTCCCATGCTGTGAGTTGTCTGTTCACTTTGTTGATGGTTTCTCTTGCTGTGCAAAAGCTTTTTAATAAGATGAGGTCCCAATTGTTGATTCTTTGTAGTATTTCCAGTGTGGTCTAGGTTTTGTTCATGAAGTCTTTGGCTACTCCTATGTCCTCAAGTGTTCTACCCATTCTCTCTTCAAGGAGATTTAGTGTTTCTGTTTTAATAGTTAGATCTTGAACCCATTTTGATTTTAGGTTAGAGTGTAGTGAAAGATATGGGTCTAATTTTAATTTTGGGCATGTGGAAAGCCAGTTTTTCCAGCACCATTTATTAAGGAAGCTATCTTTCTTCCAGTGAAGGTGTTTGGCTCCTTTGTCAAAGATAAGGTGGTTGAGTATGTCTGCAGTTGTTTCTGTATCCTCTAGTCTGTTCTATTGATCTTCCAGTCTATTTGCCAGTACCATGCTGTTTTTATCATAGTAGCTTTGTAGTATAATTTAAAGTCAGAGATTGTGATATCCCCTGCCTTGCCTTTGTGGCCCAGAATTGCCTTTGCTATTCTAGGGTCTCTTCTGGTTCCAAACGAACTTTAGGATTTTTTTTTCTAATTCTGTGACATATACTGTTGGAATTATGATTGGGATTGGACTGAATCTGTATAACAATTTTGGAAGTATGGCCATTTTCACTATATTGGTTCTTCCTATCCAAGAAAAAGGGGATATCTTTTCATTGTCTGATCTCTTCTTCAATCTCCTTTTTCAGTGTACTGTAGTTTTCAATTTAGAGGTCTTTTACCTCCTTTGTTAGATTGATTCCTAGGTCTGCCTGCCTTTCTTTCTTTCTTTCTTTCTTTCTTTCTTTCTTTCTTTTTCTTTTTTTGGATGCTACTATGAAAGGTGTTTCTCTAATTTCTCTCTCCGGGAGTCTGTTA